GGGCGCGCAGGGACTCCCAGCGGCGCGGAGGGGGTGGGCTGGGAGCAGGGACCGGAGGAACGGAAGGAGGGTGGTTTGAGATTCAAAGCACGTCCGGAGACCGCAAGACAATCGCTCTCCTCCCCTCCCCCACAGCTCGACTGGGGTTCTAGCGGGTAAAACCACTTCTCCCCGTGTCCCGGCCCCTCCCGTAAACCCGCGCGCACAGCCTCGGGGACACACCCGCGCCTTCTCCAGGCAAGCTTGTCTGGCCAAGTGAGGAGCAGGGAGAAAGCGGGGAACAAGGAGTGGCCGGGATTCCAATTGAGTTACAGCAAAAATGAAAGCGAACTTCCTCCCCACCTCCAAGTCGTCTCCGAGCCCACGCCCTACAAGGCCGCACAAAGCTGCCGGGAAGGTCTGTGCTTGGGGAGCCCCGGCCCTGCTCAGGTCGAGGCTCGAGCCGAGGAACTCCGAGGGGCTACAGGCCAGGGCGCCCCCCCCCCCGGACCCCGCCCCTCCCGGAGCGCCCACCTTGGCGCCGATCTGGTTGCCGCACTGGCCGGCCTGGATGTGCACGATCTCACGCATGGTGCTAGGTAGCTTCTTCTGGCCCTGGTCGGCGTCTGGTCAGTCTGTCCGTCCTCCCTTAAACACCCACTGCGGGGTCACGGGCAATGCGATCCGGAACCGACTGTCTGAGAGCGCCGGCCCAGCGGACTCAGTCTTTTATGCAAGGAGGGTGGGGCGGCCCGCGTAGGCCGCGCCCCCAGCCCGAGTGCCCCAGTCCCCTTCGAGCTAGAGCTCTCCAGGCCCCGCTGACGTAATGCTCCGAGCCCCAAGGACCATCCTGGGGGCTGGACATTGGGCCCGCAGCCAATCAGCACAGGCTTGCGGACCGGGCGAGGAGTGGGGGTTTGGGGTAGTAGGGTGGAGGCGTGGGCATTGTCTAGGACTTGGGGCGGGGGAGGTGGAAGAGCTGGGGACTGAGAATTGGGGGTAGGTGAAGGAGCTGAGGGCGGGAGGGTGGGGAAGCGAGGGCGACCCCTGGGGCAGGCCGGTGGTGGGGGGAGAGCTGGTACTGGATGGGGGGAGCAGGGAGACGGGAGCAGGTGGAGAGGCCCTCTGTGCGCTGTGCGCGGGGTGCTGGCAGGTGGAAGGGTAGAGGGGGGTGTAGGTCGCACTGCCAGCGCTGATTGAGGCGCCTCCTCGGCCAACGGCCTGAGATCCCTAAGCTACCCGTCCCTCGTGAGACCACTGCCTCTTTCCCCAACCCTAGAAGCCAGCGACTGTCCAGCCGCCGAACCCTGGTCACACAGAGCCTTGGGAGGACAGGCGAGCCCAGGAGAAAATCGTGTGTGATCAGGCTGTGGGGTCTGAAGAGCCGTGACCCCGGACCCCAAAGCCCAGGAGCTCCAGGGGGCCCTGCGCCCTTCCCCCAGCATCCGCCTGCTCTCTTTTGTCTCTGTCAAGGGCTCCTTGCTCCCTCTACTGCGGTTGCTGCATCCAGGGGTGGGGCAGCCTCCGCGCCCGCTCCAGCCCCATCCGACTCTCTCCAAGAGTCCCCAGCTCCCTGGCTGGTACCAAAGACCCCTCCACCTCGCGGGCTGGCTTTTTGTTCCTCCGGAGTGGGTGGGGTGGGTGTGGCTGTCCGCGCACGGGTACTGTCCAGCGGTCAGAACGAGGGTGGGGTCCGGGGGGCGGGGCTGCGGCAGAACAAAGGGCTCACAAATGTGTGGGATACCTCCCACGGCTGAGTTTTAAAAATCACACCCCCGGCGCTCTCCCTCTCTGGGTTTGGTTCATCTATTGTCCAGGAAGGAAATGGGTTCCGCGGGTGATCATGGCCCACCACACCGCTAACACTCTTCTCTTTCATCAGGTGCCAGACCCAGCGGCGGCCACGAGGTCCCCAACCTTCGTGCTGCTGATGGGGGTGAGGGACACGCCTAAAAACTGCGGCAGAGCGAGGGAGCAGCCACCCGAGACCCTGACGCGCACAGAGCGCGTGCGCAGACTCGGAGCACTGACACTTTCAAATTCACAGTTTCTAGGTGGTCGGAGGAGATGATCTCTTTGTTACTCTTCGTGTGTCTGTGTGTGAGGGGGGATGGGGAGAGGGTGCTCAACCTGCTTGCGTTCAAGGGTGGGAGCGGAAAGGGTGGCTGAAATGTTCACTACCGACCTGGAACCTGGCCCCTGCAATTCCGTGGGTGAAGCGCCCTTCCCCCTCTCGACTCCGGACGGGTCTTCTGCGAGGTGACGTGACCCCTTTTCATCCTCTAGCGAGAGGGGCCGAATGACCCGGGTTCCCGTGGGGAGCGGAGCCTGCAGCTGTTGAGTGAGACCCTCCCAGAACTAAAAGCAAGCTGTCACCGCCTTTCTTTCCCGCTGGGAGGTGAAAGGGGGGCTTTCAACTCAATTCCAGTGCACAAAGAGAAACCCAGAGAACAAAAGCCCAGCCTCCCCCAAACACCCATGACGCCCAGACTGAACCTTCCGGGCAGAATTCCCCGGACGCGGCTCCCCTTCGTGGGGTTGGGATGGGGTCGGGCGAGAGGCAGAGGAGCAGAAGGTCCGCCCACAGGCCCCACTTGAGGGTTCCAAGGACCCAGGACCCCGAGTTTCTAATCCAGCTCCTACAGACGCAGAAACGTCGAGGGCGAACGATTCCCAAGGTCCCACGGCAAGTTAAAAACGGGGCTCAGGCTGGAATCCCGTCTTCCAGGCACCCCAGCCCTCGGGGAGGGTGACCACGTTCAGGCCGAAAGAGCTGTGGCTGGTGTCAGCACCCGGACCTGGGGATGGCGGCTGCGGTGGGAGCGAGCCGTGCGGGAAGGCCCCCGCTGGGGCTGCACCCGCGCTCTGTGTAGACGCGCGCCCAGCAATGAGCGCCTGGCTGCCAGCGCCAAGGGGCAACCCTGGCGCGCTGCGCTCCAGGGGATCTGCTCCAGGCCGGGAAATTTAAGCCGGCCGCCAGCCTCCCTCACCTAATGGTTTATTTTCTCAGCTTCGGTTTCAGAGCCAGATTGCCACGGAGTGTCGGGTGAAAACGCGAGTGGATAAAAGGGCCCTTTCCTCGGGCGCCTGGGTGGCTCAGATGGTTAAGCGTCTGCCTTCGGCTCAGGTCATGATCCTGGAGTCCCGGGATCGAGTCCCGCATCGGGCTCCCTGCTCGGCA